AGAGTCCGAATACCGACGTTACTTCATTAAAGCACAGAAACAAAACTTTACAGAGAAAAAGATTGTCACCTTACCTCTCATAACGGTTCGGACAGATCGAATGAGGTTCGTCAGCTGGGCTTTAATCCCTGGTTCCTCTCCAAATCCTCCAATCCCTTGGTCACTTCCCCAGCCAACTGCGTCACACAAAAACAGCCGGACACGTTAGAAAAGAAACCCAGAACCACGCGACAAATGCTATCGGCAGTATCAAATGAGCGATCTATCTTGAATATGGTTATCAGTAACATTCGAAAAACAAACTGCAAACCAACGCGCTTTATTTCAAGATCGGATTTTAAAACAATATACTGAGAGCTGTTACAAACCTTTTAGCGAACGCAACAGTAACGACAGGTCAACGTTTCCGTAAAGGAAACCCTTACCTTTTTAACACGCTGCTGTTCCCTGCCTGCCGGAGAAAGAAATGAGTTTATTTGGGCTTCGGAAAAACACCCGCCAAAATAAAAATGAACAAACTACGTCTGTTCATAGTCCTTTACCAGAAGATAAAACAGCAAATAACTGTTGGGTATGAAGTGATGCTTCAGCACTGCGAAACGAGCTGCGTGACAGAAAACGGTCAGCACGGATCCCAGATCGGGACGATTTCTGTAACTGCTACAAAAAAACCCCAAATGACTTGGGAACTTTTCAGAGGGCGACAGAAGTACTGAAGGTTTACAAAGCCCTTCAAGGGAGAAAACCCTTCCCAACCCACCGTGGGGAGGCAGAGAGTGTGGACCCAGTGACGGGACCAGGGATTTTTGAGTCCTGCTGGTCGCAGCCCTTGCCCATTCGGGGACGAGCGGAGCAGAGAAGGGAGCGGCTCTCAATATTCGAAGCTGCGCTGTGCAACCTGTGAGTTTCTTTTCTCCAGAGACAACTTTTGAGGGTTTGGGGTTTTTTTTTCCCCCCTTTCTTGTCACCCTCACTCTGCTGGCACCGGGCTGGGGGCAGTAGGTGAGTCCTCTCCCTCACCGGCCTTGCCAGCTGCTGCTTCCCACTGGGATGAGCCTGGAGTTATTCCCAAGCCTCCCGAGTCACCTGGGGCCGACGAGTGGCATGACCCATCCTGTCCGTCCTCGCGTCTCCCTCCTCCTCGAGCTGCTGCTCAGCAGCAGTGCAAAAGAAAACCCCAAACCCAGCAGGTCCCTCGCAGTGAATCCTGCTGGGGAACGGCAGAAAAGGGATAACTGTCCGCACTCCTGCCAAAAAATCCGAGCTCAGCCTGACTCGGAGAAGTCAGGACTCTCTGGATCAGGAAACCTCGGATCACAGGAAGTTTTTTGCTGGGGCTTTGCAGACCTTTGCGTCGGTGGCTTTTTTGTGCTTCGCCGGGTTTTGTGTTCTTTTAAAGGACAAGGATGCCCAACCCTGGGGACCCTTCTCCAGCACCGCAGAGATGTGAGCGCGCCGAGACCGAGAAGCATCTCATCCA